ATTATTTATTCATGTTGATTATACTTTAGCAGCCTCTACCTGTACATAATTATAATCTGATTTTAAAATTCACTCTCATCAATGCACATTCTTTCTGATAGAAACTGTACATTTTACTGTTTTTTTTTTTTAATACAATGAACTATTGTGCAATCTAAAAATTGTCATGAGCAAATAAAATTAAAAACTGCCTGATTTTTCATAGTATCAGGTTGTTGTATTTCTTTCTCAGGCACGTTAAATTTGTAACAAATTTTTTTTTAGTTCCAACTTTTTCGATTTTACATTTTATTTACTTAATATTAAGAATTAAAGTATATTTTATCTAATTTCAGTAATGGATTTAGCTTTTCCTCCACCATTCAGAAGACAACTTTGCTTCCAAAAATTAAAATTGTCAATGAGGACAATTCTCTGAATTTCTAAAAGTTTCATTAATTTCTTAAAGTTTCAAAGATGTAGCAGCTGTGGTACAGTATTAACATCAGTACTTTTCTGAAGTTACCGTAGAAGGTGTGGGTGTTTTTTTTTTTTTTTTTTTTTTTTTGTGGTGGTTTATGAATGTTTTACATGGAACTTCTTATCTTCAGTACACTTGGCAAAATGTAACTAGATTAATATGTCTTAAAATTAACCTCTTGCATTTTGGTTTATAATTATACATAGATGAAAATTAGCATCCATTTTAGTCTTTGCACGTCTTGTCATTAAGAAGAAAAAATAAAAAAGGCAAAAAACAATAGGAGCTGACTGACATGACATGTGCAAAAAATACAGGAGTCCACTTCCTTACACAGAAAGAAGAGAGATCTGTGAATTGCCTATTGGATAGTTATTTCAAGTACTGAATTGGGTGTGCACAAGCTTTCCCATTATTGTGGAGAACATTTTATGCAAAATCACCCAAATAGATGCCACTATGACTGTAAAGCTGGCCTAAAGTCTGAATAAATGTAGAATTTCTTCCCCTTACTTCTGTGTGGTCATAATGTAAGTGATTGCACTGTGACATAGGTTGATACATTGTACCAAGGCTTTCATCTGAAGTTGGAAATGGGATTTAAAGCTCCTATCAAGAGGTGAAATGATACAGGAAAAAACACTCAAGATATTTTCAACTCTGTTGCAATTGCAGAATCCTGGAAATATTCCACGAAGGCTTCTTCTGTGGGAAGTTTCATATTAATATACTCACAGAAACAAATAATTTCAGAAAACATTAATATGCAGACAATTTTTGCCCTCTCCCACTCATTCTATGACTATTCAAAGAATAATTCCAGTAGTACCATTTCAAATGCATTAGAAGCATTTCAAATGAACCATAAATAAATGAGAATAATAAATACATGAAATAAACTTCTGACAAAAATAGTTATTTAAACAGCAGTAAATTCTCTTGAATTGACGTGACAAGGGTTTTGTTCATTTTTCAGCTGTGGTAAAAGTGTCATTTGAAGTGTTGGCTTCAGTGTCAGTTGCAAAAAAGGTTCAGGAATGCTGGGAACACCTTGTCAAAATTTTGCCCCATATGTGTAAAATTGAATTTTGTTACTTCTCTTGTAGTCACTCTTGCTCAATGAACTAGTTTATGCCCATGATACCTGTATAATGGGGCTTTATAGCTACCAGCATTGAAATGCTGTAATAGTAAACAGAACAAGTAAATAGAGGTAATGTGAAACTGAAATGAAGAATAAGAGAGGAAGAAAATTAACAGAATGTGTAGTCCATGCCTGAAAAATCAAGTAAGGTTCTGTTTTTACTGCAGATTAGGCAAACTAAGCCCACTGTCATTTCTCTGGATGCGATTTTTGTATTACATTGCAGCAAAAAGCACACAGTTGCAGCAAACGATAACTTGATATAAATGTTGACATGAAGAAAACTGTTAGTCTCTCAAATCTTGGTTGTGTAGCCCAGGCATTGCTTGTAGCATTTAGTTTATTACATAAAAAGATGGCAGGGCAAAGGGGAATTACAATCTTTGATAGATTATCAGCAGGATATCCCTACGTTAAGTAAAATAAAATTGGTGCTATGAGTTTTTCTTTCCAAAACACAAGAAGTCATGGCTACAAGTGGATTTTTTTTTTCTTCAATTTTTGTGTAGTTAATTAAAGATGCTCTTTCAAAGCGCACATAAATATTGCGTGTAGAGTTACATCATTAGTGTAATTTTTATCCAGTTATGTTAAATCTTTCCTGTCATTGTTAGTATAATGTTATTCCATTGATTTTTAGTGTAGTTTCTCCTGGTTTTTAGCAGTATAAATTCATGAAATCACACTTACAATGAAGCATGCTTACGTGGAAGAGTAGTGAAAGAGTTTCTAACAGTCTGTTGCCTCCTTCAAAGATAAAACCTTTGCTGACCTAAGGGGTTGAAATTCCATAGGAATTTCCATCTGATTTTAGTTTAAAACAGGGAATATATTATTAGCCCTGGAGACCCCAGCACACTATTGTCTGGAGCTCTAACATGTGTAGCACTTCTGGTTTTGGAAAACTTGTACTAAAGAGGAGTTACAAATTGGATTCCTTTCTGCAGCAGGCTGATTGATAAAGTCTAGTGGGCATATTTTTCTCTCAGCTCAAATGTGAGCTACTGATGAAAACAAAAAATCCAAACTGAAAAAATATCACCAAAATTTAATTTGGCAAATTTAAAATCTTGTATAATCCATCCTGTGAGTATAAATAATCATTTCTTTATCCTTAGTGACATGCCTTTCTGACAAAAGCATCATTTAAAATACAAAGGAAAGGATGTTGTGTTTGTCTTTGAAATGGATAACTTGGAAATTGAAAGAGAGAGATGATCTCTGAAATGAAGGATGCTTTAGGGATATGACTAGCAGAAAAAGTGGCTCTGGTATTAGGTAAACAAAAGTCCCAAATCAGGATTGTGGTCCACTCTGCTAAGTGTTTTGCAAACAAGATGAAGATGTATTATGCATTAGCTAATTTGTCAGATCTTGTAGGTTTTTTGTAAAGGACAATGGTACAAAAGTACAGACGTTAACTGCAACCCTAGCTGACCTTATCTCACAGTCGTGACAAGTACCAAATAACTGTGGAAGTGAAGATAATGAAACGCTCAATCCTAGTTATAAATCTGTGCAATTCTGTTAGCTTCAGGGAATTTCTGCAACTTTTTACAGCAACCTAACCTGGAATTAAGCATCCAAGCCTTTGTGTTGGTGCAGGTCATTCATTCTGCTTCTGCTGTACTTCCTGTGATTTCTGTTGATCGGGTGCATAATGACTCTGTGTGTAGCCTACCTTATTTTGATAAAATCATTTTCTGTCAATAATGCCATACAGAAAACAATCTTTTTGGGTTCTCAGATTGCATCCACTCTTTTTGTAGCTAAAGCCATATTTGTAAAGTATGAGGCACTGTCTTCTGTCCTATGTGTTAACATTTGGCTTCTCTTCCCTTCTACCTGCTTTTGTAAATCAATTTTATTTGAACCGGAACAGAAATGTTTCATAACTTCAATGTCTTTGCAAATAGCTTTTTAAAAACCAATTTAATCTAATTTTTTATGGCACGGAAGCTTCTTAAAATATAAAGCTATTGTACATCAAAGAGAATTTTGCTGTATACATTCATGCATCTAAAGACAGAAGAGGGCATGCTGTATTTAACTTGTTTGACCTGTAATGTATACAAGGAATGGAAAATTTGGCTGCATGTGTAATGACCTGGTAGTCCAGGTAATTTCCTTTATGCCTTAAATTAGGTAACTGACGTTCATAATGCATAGAATCTTGCTTGTTGAGCAGTCTAGCATTATATTTGCAGAGCTACGGCTATACTAACTGGTATTGCATTCACATTCAGTGATTTATTTGATCTGGGAAGCCAAAGAATTTCTTCTTTCCTAAAAGGATGTTTTCTAGGGTTCCAAATGATCAAATGAACTACATTCTAGTTTTGCATTTTATTACAATTGTGATGAATACATGATCATTTGCAATATATGTGTGTGTATATATATGTATATATGGTGGGACATTATATATATATAGTATATACATCAGCATATATTGGGACATGACTTTCATTTTAGTCTGTGACTTCAACATTGTTCTGTGGCTTCACCAACCTATTTTAGAAAGCTCACAAATAAATCACTAATCATAGTTGTGGAAGTTATCTCCTTCCTTACATAAAAGTGTATCTATAAAGTACCAGTTTGTATAGAGTATGCTTTGGACCTGTCCCACTGTTAAATAAAGCATAATATTATAAGCTAGAATTTGCAATGGCTGCCTGACACACACAGAGGTATTTCAATTAACCTGCATGCAGAAATTAACCCTTAGAGTACTGCTTCAAATTCCTCAATTTATTTTGTTATTTAATTTTACCAGTGGGCTATGCTGCTTTTCTACTCAGCTCATAGTACTGTACATAAAGTACGTTAAATAGCCATACACAAAAAGAGAAGTAAGAAAAAGGAAAAAAACAAACCCAAACCAAAACCAACTTCTTATAAACAAGTGATTCTACGAGACTAAGTACCCCAGGTTGCTAATGGGTAATGTATTCCTAAGCAACTACTTTTTTTTTTTTTTTAAGGTTTTATATTATGACATGAATTAAAAATGTAATGTTTCACTATAGCTGTGTGTTTGTTAGATTTGTTCCTAAAGTATCATAGGTATGTCTCTTATAGAAAGAAGTCAGTTCTTTAAGGGTTAATGTGGGGTTAAGGAATCCTGAGGTATTCTCCTGCTTGTCCTTTCTCTAAAGGTGTCTGCATGTTAATTCTCAGATATTACCTGAACAGGTGAATATAAAGATTGTATGAATGACTAACTGAGTGAATGAAATAATTCATTTGAAATGCTTGCTTGTATCTTGTAAACGACTGGAAAACAGAAATGTGATTTTTGAATCAAAGTCTTTAATGAAATGCATAAAAATCTCACTAGAGTAGAAACTCACATACTGACAATTTACTCTGATTTCTTTTTCTTTCAAATAGCCCAATAGAATCCTGCCAGAATTTCTACAAAGATTTCACATTACAGATCGACATGGCTTTCAATGTGTTCTTCCTACTCTACTTCGGCTTGCGTGTAAGTAGTGTGTCTTACCACGAGTCAAGGAGGGAATATAGCTAGTAGATAGGGAGAGTCTTTCAATATAGCCTGACTTTACAATGGCTGGACAAAATTAAACTAATTTCTAAAATGTATGCGCAAAGCATTTCATTGAGAAAATTTGGGTAATAATAATAAGCATCTAAGATCACTAAGGACACCAATAGTTTATAAGCAAAGCCATCTGTTCCAGAATATTCTTCACTTGTGGTAGAAAGTTCAGTGCTGGTCAGTGATGTAGAATCTAGTTTCAGTGTTCTTAATGGACACTGAAATGGAGTGATAACTACCTCAGCAAGACTAGTGAATATTTGATCCATTCCTCTGCTGCTAGATATGTCTTTGGCAATCAAGGGTTGAGATAACATCTGGTAGAGATGCTGTATTCAGTTTTATGCACATCCACTTTGCCAGACTGCTAATGAATACTTTGCAGAAGCTGTAAATACTAGGCGACATGCTGAAATGTATATCCTTATTGCTTTCTGAAAACCCAGTAATGCTGTTTGAGGATCTAAAATTTGGGATGTCTGAAACAGGTAGGCGCTCTTAAAAGTCTGGGTGAGTAATGCTTGCAATTCAAGCTGTTGAGGTTTTTTGTTTGTTTGTTTACTTTTTGGGTTTTTTTTTGTTTTTTTTAAATACACTTTGAAAACTAACTCTGCTTGTTGTTAATAGGAAAATCAGGGGGAAAAAAAAGGCCTCAAACAAAACAGAGCTGCAAGGAAAACCTCATGTGAGCAGAAAGCCTGACACATTGGTCTTGAAATTTGATACAAGTATTGCCTTGTGATCTTCCTTTGTCCATTTTGCTCCCGAATCACAGGAGCTCCTATGTCACAATGATAGTTGAATTCCTCCTATTTCACTTCCAATCAACTTTTTCTGATGATCCAGTAAGGAATTTTGTTGCAAACTTAGGTTATTTCATTACCCGGTCTAGATGCAGGGTCTACCCTTTAGCTAAATACATAAATTCCTTCAGCATTTACACTACTGTGTATGCATTCTAAGCTGTATCTTAAAAAACATACAGTGTAATAGCCCCTAATTCTTAAAGAGTTAGGGGGGGCTTTTGTAGATGTCCACCAGGCTTGCAATATAGGTTAACTTTTTGACATATCAGATTTAATGCATGGTACTTGTGAACTTCCAAGAACACTTTTTTTAGAAAGAAAAACTGTGTTAGTGATAAGGTTGTATGTGCTTACCAAAATTAAAACTATGTGTTGGGCACTTGTGCTTAAAGCAGTAACTTAGGCTACATTATCAAGCAGCAGAGCACAATAAGAGAGAATATACTGAGAGTTGATGCTAATACTTTGATATCCACACTGTGTGTTTTTTTGGAAGTGAAAGTCAGTCCTGTAGTCGTGCTACTGTAGTCAACAATCTGGTCCTGTTGACTGAACGCAGTTTAGCAGTTACAGTATGTGAGATGCACTGCTAGAACTTATTTTCAGTTTTAGTTTCAACTGAAACAAATCTTTGTGTTATCTAAAACTGCTTTATCATGCAAACTGAAGGGTGGTGAGTGGGGATAAGGATTCACTTCAGATTAGTACCCCTTAACTCAGTTAAAATGTTAATATAGGTGTAACGTCAGTTCTCCAAGAAGTC